GAGCCCAGGAGTTGGAGGTTGCTGTGAGCTGTAATGCCACGGCACTCTACCCAGGGGGACAGCTTGAGGCTCTGTCTCAAAAAAAAAAACCAAAAACAAAAAATGTATTTGCTATAGAAGTGACAAGTGTGAATTTTTGATCAGTGGATACATTGCATATTAATTGTTCTGTGAATGTTTCTGAATTTTTAAACTTATTAAAACTTTAATTTTCAAAATAGAAATAAAAAGTCTGTATTTATTCACCATTTGCTGGGCTTTTAATGTTTAGTAATTTATTTTTTTGAGATAGGGTCTTGCTCTGTTGCTGGGCTAGAGTGCAGCAACCTCAAACTCCTGGGCTCAAGTGATCCTACTGCCTCAGCCTCCCAAATAGTGGACACTACAGGCATGTGCCACTAGTCCCAGATAATTTTTCTATTTTTTGTGACTCTTCCTCATGCTGGTTTTGAACTCCTGGCTTCATGCAATCGTCCTGCTTTGCCTTCCCAATGAGCTAGGATTACAAGGTCTGAGCCACTGTGCCTGGTCTGCTTTGTAAATAACACTATTCAGTTCCAGAGGTTTGGAAAGATATAAAAATTACTTCTGTAATTTTGATAGTCTCATAAATATTGTGAAATACTGCATTGTAAACACTATTTCTGAGATAAATCTTGTTTATTTTTCATCATACTTTAAGTATTAGTCAGTTGTCATCAATAAATATAAGTATGAAGTGGGCTCAGCACCTGTAGCTCAGCGGCTAGGGCAGCAGCCACATACACTGGAGCTGGTGGGTCCAAATCCAGCCCAGGGCCCGCCTGACAACGACAACTACAACAAAAAAATAGCTAGGCATTGTGGTCGGCGCCTGTAGTCTCAGCTACTTGGGAAGTTGAGGCAAGAGAATTGCTTAAACCCAAGAGTTTGAGGTTGCTGTGAGCTGTGATGCTACAGCACTCAACCCAGGGTGACACAGTGAGATTCTGTCTCAAAAAAAAGAAAAAAATATGTATAAAAAGTATGGGGTGGCGCCTCTGGCTCAAAGGAGTAGGGCGCCGGCCCCATATGCTGGAGGTGGCGAGTTCAAACCCAGCCCTGGCCAAAAACTGCAAAAAAAAAAAAAAAAAAAAAAAAAAAAAGTATGAAGTGGCCCTAGGGCCAGGAGACTCTATTGTGGATATGTTTGCTGTTTATATCCCAAAGAATATATATATATTTTCAAGATATCTCCACCTCCTGGAAAACATCTTGGGCATTGAAAACAGTAAAGCCTCAGGTAAGCACAATGAAGGGCAAAGTGACATAGGACAGTCGTGCCTGCAGGCAAACAGCAGCAGCTGGTCTCCACTGTTTTTAAGTTACAAACAATAGAAACTGCTTTTACAGTGGGCTGATTCGGTTTGCTTTCTTATTCCTCCTTTGACTGCACAGTATTTCCAGTGTTTGAGACACCACTCAATAGTCCTGGGTGGGCTGGCTTTCTGGGTGCTCCTCTCATTCCTTTGTTGTTCCAAGCTCTGCCTGAGCTTCCTACCATGGGCTGTGTTCTGTGAGTGCCTGAATGCTTGCCTCACCCCGCTCTCTCTCTAACACTCTAAATTCCATCGCTTCTACCTTCATTTCTGCCCCTTCTTTTCTGGTTCCAATAGAAAAGGATCCTATCAGTTCTGCCTTTTGTTTCTGCTCTATTAGTTTTGTCAAAATATTTGAAGCACAGGGCCAACGAGAATGGGGAAAGTCAGTCCTGAAGGGGGCTGGCTGGAATATTCTGAGTTTGAGTTAGCTTTTGGTGGGCCTGTTAAAACTGAAGCAAATCACCAAGTTTATATGCTCCCAAGCTCTGTCTACCCTGTTTAAAACCCACATTTCCCTGACTGGCATTAAGGAGACTCCACGTTCTTAAAACGTTTTCTTGACTTTCATGCAAGTCAAACTGACTTAAAGTTTCTCAAATAGTCTTGTCATATTTTCACTTCTGTATTTTCTTGATAATATTTTTCTTGTGCCTTAAGTATTCTTTACTTTTATTTAAGTCTTACTACCCCTAGAGACACAAAACATGTGTGATCCTCTCTAAGGTTCTTGCAAACTGCCTTGGTATTGACTGAGCTATTTTGTTTGAACTCTCATAGCACAAACGTCTATCACATATCTTTTTGTTTACTCTTTCTTACCATTTGAGATTTTCTTTCACCCAGGGTCAAGCACCAAGGTCTCACAACCAGATATCTTTTTTTTTTTTTTCTTTTTTTTTTGAGACAGAGCCTCAAGCTTTCCCCCTGGGTAGAGTGCCGTGGCATCACAGCTCACAGCAACCTCCAACTCCTGGGCTCAAGCTAGTCTCCTGCCTCCGCCTCCCAAGTAGCTGG